TCAAATTTATTTGATATTTCTCAGAGTTCATCCTCTCAGTTTGGAGAAACATTCTTCTGACCAAAGCACTTTAAGTGGATTTCTCTGGAACCTACTACAATGCAGCCTGCTTTGGCAAAAGGAAAGTTTATTCATCTTCTGATTTCAGAAATCCTTTAAAAAATAGTGTCAAAAATCAATCAAAAATGAGAGTGATGTGTGATAACTGTTCTTATTAGAGATGGGGCATCTCATGGAATAAGCATATATGTGATGGAATAAATTCCTCAGGCAAACTGATTCTCATTTCTCTAAGAGCCTTTTTAATTACGAGCAAAGTATGGGCTTTGAACATAACATTACATATTATCACAATCGGAAATGGCATTTATATACTATTCTTAGGCAAATCACATATTATACTTCCTTGAGTACATTAAGTAATTTCTTGGGAGCTTTTTGAACTGTGTTTTAAAATCATGTCTATCTCCTTCTTGCCTTCCTTTGTGTGGCTGCCAATTCCTAAGTAGCTTTTTTATGCCAAGCTTAATCCAATAGGAAGGATCACAATAACCCCAGCAGTTGGGGAATGTTCTTTTCAAGCACATGGGTGTCATCTGGTTATTCATTCCATTCAGCTCCTCTCCCTCTTCCCCTTCCCCACTGCTGGAGGATTTTAATTTCTTGGCCTTTCACTAAAGAATTAACCTGAGAATAAACTGAGATTAAATGGTACAGATTATTATAGTGACCATCAGGGGAAAATTATTATGTCAACTGTTTTCCCCTCTCTTCTTTATTCCCACCCCCCCCACCAAAAAAAATTGTTTATTTAAAAAGTTTTAGACTGCAAACAAATCACTTAGAGAATTATCACATCATGACATATGGCCAACCTGGATCACTAGTCATTTCCTAACATATAATTGAGTGTCTCTCCATCTGAGCCTAGGTCCATACTGTCCCCACTAATGTGAATGTATTCAATTCACTTAGATGCCTGCTAAGATAATACTTTTCCTTCAAGGCCCAGTCAAAAGCCACCTCCTTGCATCTATTTCTCCTTTGTAACTGGTCTGCATGGATTTACTCTCATAAGAGTATAAGCTCCTGAGGTCAGTGCCAACGTCTGTTTATGTTGCTTTCCACAGGGACTGTATTAGTGTCTTGTTACTGGTGGAGTTCACTACTAGACTGATGGAGGTCACAGGACAACAAATGCCAAAGTTTCCATAAAGAATCAGTACCATAGAAACACACAACTTCCTTGGGGTGCCATCATGAATAGTAACCAGCCAGTCTCCTGGTCATCCGTTTATTGCAGGTTTTGTCAACATACCTGAATGAATTGATCTATGTTGTCCATCACTTTATAACTGTGTTTCTCAAAAGGTTGTATTCAGATCTTTGACAACAGAACCAACGGGGGCTCTGGTTTAAAATGGAGGTCGTTGGGCCTTACTTGAGATCTTCTGAGTCAGTATCTTCAGAGATAACATCTAGAAATATATGATTTTTTTTTAAACAACAATCCTATGAGGACCTTAAGCCTACAAATCTTTGAGAATTGCTGATTCAGAGTAATGAGATTTCACCTTCTTGATAGCCAAGGACATTTAAATGCTTGAAGAAAAAAAATGGCTGGTAAAGATAGAGAAAAATATACAAAGCATGACTTTAAAACTTTTCTGACTTGGCCTGTTCTAAGGTGGAGTTTCTCAAAGGCAGAGACAAGTATAAAATGGAATCGAATATCCCTTGCAGCTAAATGATCCCCTAATTTTTATCACAGCAGTAAGAGAGCCACAATTTTTATTTGGAAGATTGACAACTGTTTAATTTAAAAAAACAACAACAACAACAAACTGATTACCATGTCTAACTACAGAAAGGATGGATAAGCAGTTTAGGCAAAACTGTTCAAAATTAATCCATTGCCCTTCCATTTTAAATAATATTCTTCCATTTCTGACCCATTTTTCTCTTTCCTAACATATTTTCCTTATTTCTTTTAACCGAAGTAGCTTGTGATCTATGAAGAGTCTGTTGAAATGATGCGTGGGAGGTTTATCTTTTCCTCCAAGGGGAAGCTCTCGAAAGGGCAAAAGCTCTATTTTGCTATGTGCTGTTCAGGGTCATAAACTCCCTGGAAGCTGGGTGATGAATGCTCATATAATAAATATGTTCCCTTTTCCCATTAGTTTTACATTAATTTAATCTCTTCCAGTGAGTAAATGAAGGCAGACATATTGAACAAGAGATTTCTCAAGTTTCTGGGGTTGGCAGTTGATGTTTTTGCTGAAACTGGTTAGTTTGGGGATCATATAATTATTTTTTCCTAGAGAAACATTCACATATAGATAAATTAGAACTTCCAATGAAACGGTCTTTGGTTCCTGTTCGGGGCAGTAGGCGTGACTGCTGTGTGTGCGCATGCAAATACTTCTGTACTCCTGGAGAACTGCCCACCTGCTCTCCTAAAGTCAGGTATTGCTGTTGAGTTGCTATTGCAAATAGAGTGTGTGTAAAAGGGCTGTGTCTTTTCTGGGTGGCAGCATTTAGTTCCTAGTGGTTGATGCCGCTGGGGCACCCATGGGAGCACATATTAGTGCCAAGGTGCCTCTCCTGAGAGATACAATCTGAGAATTTACTTTAAGGTTACAGAGCTTTGTTTCCAGTCCTTTTCATTAGCTGCCAGTTTCCCCTCAGACAGTTGTTCTTAATTATCAGGCTTGGTTGCCCTAGAAAACCGAGGAAGATATTGTAAAATGTCTTCTTCCTGCTTCACAGAAATCTCCAGGATGAAACTCTACCTGACGTTATCTCACATCACTCACACCTGTTCTTCTTGGAGTTCAGTCTCTGGGGTGTTTCAAGGGGCCATGTGCCTAATCTCTGAGGAATTCCTCAGGGTCAAGGTACAACAGGTCTAGGCCTGTTGTAATAAGCTACAACTAGCATTTTTCACTAACAAAATAGTTTCTCTTTCTAAAATTACAGAAACACAGGTTATTTCACAGGAAATGGCAGTATAGTTGGTTTCTTTTGCCAGTACTGGCTACTTCTCTTGATCCTCTTGCTTTGTCACCTCTGAGTTGTAGTGAACCCTAGTTCCTAAACATATTCCAAATGATATATTTCAAAAATTAAAACCAATCTTAGAATTAGACTAATACAGCACAAGAGTTTTAAGTTATTATTTTAGATATATATATATGGATGATATACATGTTAGATATAAATATTGATATATATGTGTATACAAAGCACTTATAATTTAATGTAAGGCATGAAGAATAGACAAAAACCTCTATCTGACTACCATCAAGTTTAAAAAGTAAATTATTAAGAATGTTTTTGAAGGCCTCTGAGTAAGCCTCTCCAATCCTACCTATTTACCTCCTTTCAGAGATAACAGTATCCCAAATCTGAATATGGGGGATATTATGCCCCTACTTTTATTTATAGTTTTACCACCTATATTTATAATGTTATATGTTTTTATTTTGCTTGAACTTGTGTGCTTTTGAACATTATATAAATGGAATTAAACTATGACTATTCCCATATAATTTGCTTTCCACTCAATATTATGATCATGAGATTTATATGATTTGTCACATATAGCTCTGAATAATTGACTCTTTGTTGCCAATGGTATCTCACTGCATATTCCAATGAAATACATATATTCATTCCAGTATTGACTGATATTTGGTTTTCGTCCAAGATTTTTTTTGCAATTGCAGATTATGCATATCTGAGAATCCCTCTGCATATACTTTCAAATCAGAGATGACTGAAATGAGCCCTACAAGCAAGTGCTATTGAACTTAGTTTGAAAAATCTGGTTTTTCACTGCAAGTCACTGCAGAAGCAGTTTGGTGCAGAATATTTTAGGGAACCACACAGTATCGAAAAGCCCTGAGTGTCTCCATAAATTATCATAGTAAATGGAGATAATTTGGGATGAGGCAGAGAGGAAAATGACTTCAGCATTCCCTACAGAACAAAACAGAATCGTCTCGGCAGGACTGGAACCAATCGGGGAACTGAAGTTCATGCAAGTATGACTCAGCCCAGATGCAGAAATAATGAGAAGCAAAGCCCCTTCCCGAACAGGGTGGAGTAGAGGCCAGTGTGGTTAATCTTCAAGAAGACAAGAGATCCTCTCTCTGTTAGGCAGAAGGCACCGACAAGAAAATTCCAAGTACAAAGAAAGGCAATGGGCCCTGAATCAGAAAAGTTTTAAGAATTACAATTTTTTTTCTTTCAAGGGAGGAAGGCATAACATGAGAGATAATAATAATTGGCTCCTATAACAAGAACTTCTCTCTAAAATCATCGCTGTATTCTTCAGAGGCACCTTGAAATGTTTAGTGAAAATTGGCATTCAGAGCTAAATAAGGCAAATAGAAAGATAGAAATTGAAAATTGGGAGGGAAGGGGCGCCTGGGTGGCGCAGTCGGTTAAGCGTCCGACTTCAGCCAGGTCACGATCTCGCGGTCCGTGAGTTCGAGCCCCGCGTCAGGCTCTGGGCTGATGGCTCGGAGCCTGGAGCCTGTTTCCGATTCTGTGTTTCCCTCTCTCTCTGCCCCTCCCCCGTTCATGCTCTGTCTCTCTCTGTCCCCAAAATAAATAAACGTTGAAAAAAAAAATTAAAAAAAAAAAAAAAAAGAAAATTGGGAGGGAAAAGAAAGAACCCAAGGATCCTCGGCACTACGTGGAAGAAGAAAGGGAAAGGGAATGCTGGAGGGTGGGAAGGCGGTGAAACGCATCTTCGGAAAACAAATGTAAACAAGCATGTTAGCTTGTGTAGCATTGGGTCCTCCCTCACTTCCACGCAAGGCCTTTATAAAGGTCTGCATTGCCCTCATAGCTTTCATATGACTGGATCTTTGCAGAAACCTCGAGATTGTCGGGCTATACACCTCAGCCCATCTACTATAACACAAAGCACCTAAGGATGGAAGAAGAAGCCCCCCAAAAAACATGAAAAAGTTAATTCTTGGAATCCGGAGATTGGTAATTTCGCAGGCCAAGGAAGTAGAGTTTTACGGCAATCCTAGATTTCATTGGGCAGGAAGGACCCAGCTGACATCTTTTGATAATATTAATCTATATCCTTATAGAAATGTTAATTAACATTTTACCTACATAGGGATTCCATGTATCCTTCTTTCTTGTTAAAAACAAATCTTAACAGGAACTAAATATAAAAAAAATGAAGTGTCTTATCAAACTTTCTCCATCTTTCCCTCATCTCAGTATCATCCCCAGAGGTATTCACTGCTATTTATTTGATAGATTTCCTTCTGGAGCATTTTCTTTTCATTTGCATACATATATTCTGTAGCCTTTTTTACAACTCTTTTTATTCTGATACTATCCTCTCGGTAAGAGATTATAAATGTGAAATTCTGTACTTTCTGTTTTAGGAGGTAGTCTGAGTCAAAGAGGACTGCCTTCTTAAGAATGGTATTCCTAAACTAGACTTCTGGATATATACCCAAAGGATGGAAAACACTCTTTCCACATTCTTTTTTTTTCTTTTAAGTTTTTTCAAAAGTTTATTTTTGAGAGGGAAAGAGAGAGCGTTAGCAGGGGTGGGGCAGAGAGCGGAGGAGACACAGAAAACGAGGCAGGTTCCAGTCTCTGAGCTGTCAGCACAGAGCCCTACATGGGGCTCGAACCCTCAAACCGCCAAGATCATGACCTGAGCCAAAGTCAGATACTTAACCCACTGAGCCACCCAGGCGCCCCACACTCTTTCCATGTTCCAAATAGAGCAACACATAATGAAGTATTGCCACTATGTAAGCCTTTTCTAATAGAATGATCGGGAAAGTGGGTAAAAGAGCAAGGAACTTTTTGCTCCTTCCCTACTTAAATCGAATCCCGTTTTCAAGTCTGACTCTGGATGGATTGGTGTGCCTCCTAATCTCTCTCGAGGCTTCTATCTACAGTCTGAGAAAGTTCCTTATGGAGTTTGCTTGCCTCTGTTCCCCTATTTGAAATCAGAACTAGGCTGATTCCTTCATTCGAAATAAGAACTGGGCTGATTCCTTCAATAAAGTTTTAGAATGGCTTAAACAAATTGCTTTGCCTATAATATCCTTTTTACATATACATAAGAACACGTAATACAAATCTGTCTGAATAAATTCAAAGTACTGTCCTTTTCAATAGTTACCAGTTAGGAGCACCTGACTGCCTCTGTCAGTAGAACATGTGCTTTTGATCTTGAGGTCGTGACTTTGAGCCTCACGTTGTGGATACAGTTTACTTTAAAAATAATAATTATAAATTTAAAATTCTAAGTGAAAGCATTATATCAGAGTTCAGTGGTCAGCGTTTTCTTTTCGTTAGTGGTACATAAAATAATCATGTACTTCATAATTGATAGCTTCTTAGATGTACTGAAATCTGGTATTTCTAGCCTGTGCAAAAGCTAGGGGACAGACAGGTGGACCAGCTTCCTACAATAAAATGCACCTATGTGAGACTTAGTGTCAGTCCGACCTATGTGAATCAACAGCCTTCCATTTTTTTATGGCTTGAGTGATGGCTGCTGTCTGGGCTGGTCAAGCACAGTGGGTTCAGGAAGTGTCCTAGAAGTTTGGTTCTAATCTGTTTTTCTAGCAATTGAATGACTCTGTGAGCTACATAACATCCTGAAACAAATTCCTTTTATGCAGATTTTGCTGTTTGCATCTAAGAATCTTAAGTGACACATGAATTACATTTGAGAATACAGTTTATAGTAAAATTGCTAGAGAAAGGATAAGCAATGCATAAATGATTCTGAGCCTTTATACTCACTTGGAAAAAAAGCTATGTTTGAGTTCCACTTCACATGATACATGAAATAAATTCTAGGTGATTAAATATCAAAGTGTACAAAATAAAATTTAAAAAATATAATGATAATAACTGGAATTTGTGAAACTAAAGAATCACGCATACACTTGGTGAGGATATCAAAAAACACAATCTTGTTTTTTGTCAACAGTTAAGTGTTATCTATCAAAATATTAAATACATAAGTTTTTGTGGCAATGAGTTTACCTCTAAGAATCCTACAAGAATATAATACATACTTGCAAAGATTTCTATACAGAAGTATTTATTTATTTATTTATTTATCTATTTATTTTAGAGAAGACTGGGAGGAGAGAGAGAGAAAGAAAGAAAGACAGAGACAGAGAATCCCAAGCAGGTTCCATACTCAGTGCAGAGCCCAATGCCGGACTTGATCCCACGATGCTGGGACCATGACCTGAGCCAACATCAAGAGTCAGGCACTCAACTAACTGAGCCACAGAGGTGCCCCAATATAGATATATTTATAAAAGCATTTTTATTACAGGCAAATAGAAAATGAATCAACCTATACAACCTTTAATAGGGAATTGTTGGAAAAATGATAGCATGCCCACAGAATAAAATACTCTGTTGCTATGCTGAAGAATGTTGTTACACCTCTATGTGATAAACTTGATGGTTATATATGATATAGTCCATTCAATGTGTGTGGGAATTTTCACACATTGAGAATATTTGTATACACTAAAATCTCAAAAGACACCCAACAATGATCATCCTTGGGGAAGGAGACAGTAAGAGGAAGAGGAGGAAATTTTGTAATGTTTTATTCTGTATTGTTGGGATTTATTATAATGAACATTATTGCATTCATAATTTAAAAAGCAATAAAGTCGGAAAAATAGAAACAGCCTCTTGCAAAGCAATATGAATATATTTTCCTGCTTCTGTTGGAGCAGAACAACGCTTTCTCCTGAGGCTCTTAGCTACAGATTCACTGGAAGTGATTTAGATTCTATGGGACTTTTTTCTGGGAGAATGACCACACCAATCCAGGGCAGGTAGCTGTTGTTTCGAGCTCTGTTGTCAAACCTGCTCAAATAATTTAGGGTCCCCATCTGGACTCACACACCCTTTTGGCTGGAGAAATAAATTTACCCGAGTGTGTGTATGCTGAGCCACACCATTCCTTAAAACTACATGTGTGTGTGTTAAAAAAAAAATTAAAAAAAAAAAAAAAAAGGGGGGCGCCTGGGTGGCTCAGTCGGTTAAGTAGCCAACCCCAGCTCAGGTCATGATCTCGCGGTCTGTGAGTTCGAGCCCCGCGTCGGGCTCTGTGCTGACAGCTCAGAGCCTGGAGCCTGTTTCGGATTCTGTGTCTCCCTCTCTCTGACCCTCCCCCGTTCATGGTCTGTCTCTCTCTGTTTCAAAAATAAAATAAACGTTAAAAAAAATTAAAAAAAAACTACATGTGTGTGCAACAGATTTTATACAAACAATGGGAAGCAATACACTTTTCTCTTTCTTGTTTTATATTTCTGACATCCATTAACCCACATCTGGCATCTTTGAAACAAAAGGATTCTATATAAGCAGTAGAGAAGGACTAGATCTGTAAAGTATATATTGACCAAAAGTGAAATAGATATTCATCATTGGAAGAATTACAGTATTTAGTTACCTTCTTGTAAAGCAATAGCCTATTACATTACCGAACCAACCCAAAAAGGATAAACCTACGAGTAGACAAAACTGAATTTCGTTTCGACATTGAGAAATCTGAGGCCGTTAAAACTGATGACTATCTCAGAACCGATCAGAGAAATTTTGAAACAAGCAGGCTGATGTGACCCATCATTTTAAGTCATTAAAATGTATCTGTCAAAAGCTTGTCGCTCACTCTCTGGTTCACTCTTTTTTTCAAGAAAAGTTGTTTAATTCCCGCGATGCTAAAGTCAATTAAAAGAAAAACAAATCTATGTATTCATTTAAATAAAAAATGCTAACAGTACTGTGGTACTCTTTGCTGTCTTTTGAAATTATATTAACCATCTGAATGGTGCCAAATGATTAAAATAATGTTATAAAGAGCAATATGTACCCGTGATATTAAATATGCATATTTGCCAAGGCCCAAAAGTAAGTTAAAAGAATCTTTATACTTTCAACGTGAAGAAAACTTACTTTGTGATGCTAAACAAAGAAACAGCATATGATTTAAAAAATATTATTAGAAAAATAAAATATTGTTATTAGTTAGAAAATAAAATGTGTGTGTTCACCATAATATTTCCTAGCAGTGTCTCCTCCCCAAATACGCTGATATGAAAGTGACTATGATTTGGGGGTGCCTGGGTGGCTCAGTTGGTTGACCATTTGACTCTTGATTTAGGCTCAAGTCATAATCCCAGTGTTGTGGGATTGAGCCCTGTATCAGGCTCCACGCTGAGCATGGATCCTACTTGAGATTCTTTTTTTTTTCTCTCTCTCTTTCTGTTCCTCTCACCCTCTTCCCTGTTCTCTCTCTCTCTCTCAAATAAAACGGTTTAGGGGCGCCTGGGTGGCTCAGTCGGTTAAGCATCTGACTTTGATTCAGGTCATGATCTGATTCAGGTTAGATCATGGTTTCTGGGTTCGAGCCCCTTGTCAGGCTCTGTGCTGACAGCTCAGAACCTGGAGCCTGCTTCAAATTCTGTGTCCCCCTCTCTCTCTCTGCCCCTCCCTCACTTATGCTCTGTTTCTGTCTCTCTTTCTCTCTCTCAAAAATAAACATTAAACAAAAGTTTAAAAAAATGATTATGATTTGATGCAACAATAGCATTGTAGATCAAGGGCAAGTCCTTTTCTTTTTTTTTTTCTTTTTTTTTTTAATTTTTTTTTTCAACGTT